GAACTTCACATAATGGACTGAGAACTTCACACAATGGTTTGACAACATCACATAATAGATTAAGGACATGATCAAACTACTTTCACAGAGTAACATCATATTTTGGTACATTTGGCGTCCCATATTAGTAATCCTGCAGTACTTGCACTAGAGCCAGTGGGAAAACCGAGCTGGGTACTGCTGACATGCCATGATCGGCCTCCGTAGTACCGTGGTATTTACGTGGCGCCTTATCATATGCGGCCGTAGTAGAAATAACTGCTATTGTGTTGATTGTGAACTCGGGACGTACATGTACAGCGCGCTGTACATCGCACACAGAGTACACGGTTAGATCCATAAAAAAGTACCGATTTTCGTTTCCCCATTTGTTGTTAAATATCACCACAATGCTTTGGTTTGAAGGCTCCATTACCGCTGCTATCACAACAGCAAAACAGCGCAATGTTTTGTTTGTTGTTTATGTTCGAGGTAGGTCTAACCAGGACATTGCAGGAATGGAAGTACTCAAGTACCGGTAGGGCTAAAACGATGATTTGATTGTGTCTATCATGGAGGGTGTATTTTTTATTCCTCTATGATGTGATCACGGAGCTAATAAACTCTATGATATGAATATGGTCGAGTATACAGTGTAATATGAATGTCTTGTTACTATAATAGGGTTTAAGGGAGAAAATGTTGCATCCTGACTCCACTTCAGCAGTTGGGTATAAAGTCTATGGGGAATGAAGAGAATTTTCCCCAACAGCATTAGTAAATGTTTCTGAGTCCGGAATATGTGTCTATCAAACATTTCTGTAATGACTGACTTTTATTGAGATGATATATGATGAGAAAAGTGGAGTCAGGATGTAACATTTTAGGCGGTTTAAGCCCCATGGGTGAGTGATACATGTACTGATCTATTACTAGGCCTATAGACAAGCCTCAGTACACCCATCATCTGGTTGCGCAGTCCCTCAGTGCATTGTCAGGCATGTCAGGCAAACTTTGATTTGTTGACGAGGATTTAATTCAATTTCACTTTGTTTCTGATCTTGACTTGTGCGTAGTTTTATTGACCAGTATTGTAGGCCTACTACCCCATAAGTTGATTATCCTATAGTATGGATTTTATTCAAAGGCAGATCAACTCGGGATGGAATACAATAAATTTAGGCAAGTTTCAAGATTGCGCTTAACCATGTTAACATTTCCACTGCGCAAACACAAAAATAAACAAGTACTTGTAACATGTAACGTTACAATGGACAGTAACAATAGGAAGTGGAAGGGTCTCATAAAAAGCAATGCTTGTTTAGTACAGGGCACCAATAACACACTAACTGAAATTTACAAACATAATCCATATATCAGAATTATGTATCAACAAATGTAAATTAGTAACAATTGAAAGTAAAACAAGAAGTTTGGGACCGTTTGAGAACAGAGCATAAAGCTTCTCCGCATTTTGAATGCTTTTCAGGGAAAAAAGAATAGGGCTTTAACCCTAACCTTCCCCAACCACACAGAATTAAACATTAGTAAAGTGTGTAATTCTTGTTATGGATGAAAGTCATGTGATGTTTAAGTTCCTCTCTTTAAATGCCATGTCACGTGACACGTGGTGATATCATGATAACAATTTTTTTCTTGGACCTGTCTACCCTGAGGACTGAGTGTGGACCTGATATGTATTGAGTCAGATAGAAAAAAGGCCTTTGTCTTGAAGTTGAAAAACTTAAGAGTATCGAAAAATAGTAAATATTTTAAATTCCACAATAAATCAGGTGATGATGCCATTATGACATCATGTTTCGCAAAAGACCCTTGCTTTAAGTAACATAAGTGTGTAAAGTTTCAAAGTCATATGACTTTGTTTAATGCCCAAAGAGGTGACAAGCAAAAGGGTTGGAAGTTTCATTCACGGTGTGTGGCTGGTGAAAAACGTGTACAAAACATTTGGGGAAATATGAAATAATTAAAATTCCATAATAAATCAGGTGATGGTGTCATAATAACGTCATGTTTTGCGAAAGACCTTTGCCATAAGTTACCTAAGTATGTAGAGTTTCAAAGTCATGTGACTTTCTTTAATGCCCAAAGAGGTGATGAGAAAAAGTGCTGGAAGACCAAGAAGGAGAAGCAGAAACTAAAACAAGAAGTTAAAGCCTGTTTGAGAACAGAGCATAAGGCTTGTCTGCATTTTGAATGATTTTTATGAAAAAGAGAATAGAGCTTTAAAGAATGGGCGTTAAATGTCACAATATTTTCATCCGTAACACTTCCCTTTCTAGCTGTCTGCAAAGTTTCAATTTAGACTCCGGTAGATAGAGTGCACCTTTAATGTCACGTTTTTGTCTATAAGTTAAACCCTTCCCTTTTCAGCTTCCGGTATCTGCAAAGTGTCAACCCTATAAGACATGTACTTCAGGAGATATAGGGCTTAAAGAGTGCACCTTTAATGTCACATGACTTGTCACTCCATTATTATTCACTCTTAAAATCGATGAGAATGTCTCTGGGTAAAAATACTATGCTTATTACTACATAACATGCAGTAAGTTTATGTTCAGAGACAGTTAGTTGGATTTTAATCCAGTCAGAAACAAACACATGCTCACAGTCCACAATATTAATAAAAATCTTTAGGACTGTAAAACATATTGGAATCATCTGCAGAAAGTTTGAATGACAGAAGATCTGATGACCTTGAAATACAAAATGAATGCTCCCCTTCAACGAAGTTCTTTTCAACCAATGAGGGGTGCTTCTGCTCAAGGCCCATAGTTCATCGCCCAGGCCTTTCTTAGTGTCGTCAATACTTGTGCTTCTAACAGTAAATTTCCAAAGGGCATCTGAAAAAGCATTATTGGAAAATGCCCTCTTACATTGTTTTCCTGAAAATGACAGCTTGCCAGACAGAATCATTCACAGGGAGTTGGTTAGTTGGTGTATTCATGGCGCATATACATGTAGCGCATGCATGCGCTCTTTATTCCATTAACAGAAGAGGGCACTCGTAGAACCAAGGGGGCACAAAGTCATACCAGAGTCATGAAAATTATTAGGTAATAGCTCTGTCGGTTAAAGCTGAATAACTGTAGGTGCAAACAGGTGTATAAAAGGGTAGGCTGGTACACAGTAGAAATGATAAGGAACTTCACTGGAAAATGATCGGGGACGGGGAGTACTTTCGATCCTCCAGACACAAAGCGTCACAGAGAGTTTAGTCCCATAACTATCTTTAAACCAAGTTTACTTTTCGACCGTAATTTTGTCAGTCACTATTTGGGTAACTGTAAATGATGGACTGTACCTTAAAATCTTGGCTGTCACATTGAATTGCAGGAGATGATGATGTCACAAAGATGATGGATAGTACCTGGGAGGATGAAGAAATATCCAATCTGTGTAAAGACTCTGGCATGGTGGCCGTGAAGTTTGATGCAGACAGGTACACATATGCAAATATTGCTTGAAACTAATCCGAATGCATGCAAACGGCACTCTCTTTAATTAAAGCCCAGCTGGGCCTAGCTTTATATACATGTACTTATGTACGAAATGGAAAAATGCGATGGAACCAGTCAAAATCAGTAAACCTGGAATGACACTTTGCCTGGTAACCTGCTTTTGCTAAGCAGACGTCTTCTGTGCTGAGTACTTGTACATGTTGCTATAGGTATAGAATTTTACCCGTTCTGAAACATGCTGGGGATCTGTTCATAGGTAACAGTTAGTGCCTTTGGCTTGAGTCCTTATTGGTAACCAGACCCCAAGCTGGTTTTAAGCTATTGTACAAACTGTTGAGGCAGACTGCTTCATGTACCCAGGTATTTTTTCGTCTTTGTACATTTCGCCTTGCAGTAATGATCACAACACACATGTATATGTACGTATGCATATATTTGTAAATATAACCCCAAAATTATTTCACGAGTGATTGAATGTATACTTGTTTGTTATTTCATAACTTAAAAATCTGCTTGTATTATTGAATGAGTTGTATCAAATGTTTTCTTTGTTGCAGTGATGAATGTAAGCAGTTCTCTCAGTACTGTATCCTTTGCAATGACAGTGTTGGGCTTTGATCCTAACAGCGGCCAAGAGTGGCCATTGCTGCAATGCCTCAATGCACTTTGCCCAGTGCCGTCCAAGATCAAACCTGATTTCTCGGCCAGGTTGGCAGGCATGCCCTTTATGTGCATTGAAATCTGCCGTACATGTCCATGTTGCCATTATGGTCACTGCTGTCAAGCGGTTGACCTGCAGGTTTGAAAAGCGCCAAGATGTAGAGAGGATACGGTTTGGCAGTACTGACAACCAGACTCTGGTCCATTCCTGCAGTTCATTCACATAAACGTGCCTTGCTGGAAGGTGTCCACGGTCTGCTCTCCAGCTGAATGCACACATTAGCAGATAGATTTAGCAGAACAAAAATTGAAACGACTTCACACATTGCATGCAAGACTCTTGCCTTGGTCATAAAAAAATCTAGTTCAAGAATAAATAACACAAAAGTCTGTACATTTTGGGAAATCGCCATTGTTCCTTGCACTTACATCTGTAAGTTCTGGTTCTCCTCACAAGTCAAGTCACAAAGAGGAATTTATCATTTTACACTGAGTTTAATGGATGGGAGGGTGCATTGGAATCACATGTAACACTTGCGCATGAGCTGTACTCTTACTCTGGTTCCCACTGCTAAGTTTCAAAAACTATAATGGATTGGCGGTGTGCCAGTCTTAAGCAGTGAACCCACAATGCATGGTTCATGTCTGAACTGAGCGTCGCACAAACAGATGGTCAAAAGTAGAAAAAACATTCACCGAAGATTTGTTCAAGTCCAGCCACAAAAGTTCATCTTTCTTTGTATTTGTGTTTTCTGGATTTATTTTGAAGACAAAATCCTTTCCATTTGCCCAAACATTTGGAGTTTAAAATTTTGTTACCAGGTTTTTGGTCAAATGATATCACACACTATCAAATATCTTCTATGACACTCTTTTGACAATATTCTGCATGTTATCAGCAATCATTCTGACCATGTGGAAATAGGCTTTACACCCAATAAGAATGCCTCTCAGTAAATTTTTACAACTCAATTTTATGAAGAACTGTTTCCAGTGTAGCAGGTAGAATTCATTCTGTTTTATGGTACATGTAGCTTAGATATCCCACTTAAGTAGCCATCATACAGACTGTGGTGTAAACATGTTCATCAGAGTAGATTGAAGGTCAAGTGAATCCAACAGCTCCAGGTAAAAAGCTGATCCCAGTCTGACAGCCTTGGCTCAATCTGAATCTAATCCAAAGTCTTGAATGCAATTTAATGCTTTGCACAGCTCTCCCAACTTTGCTGCAAATTATCATAGTGTCAAATCAAAGTGTGCCCCAGATCGTGTTGTGGAACAATTTTGACCTGTAAATGTTTTACATGGCGTAACTTTGATTCCACGTCATAAAACTAGGGGCCAATGATAGAGGACCTAGACAAATTGATTCCTTAACCAGTGACCCTGACCATAGATCCAGTGATATATGTTCCCTGTGTATCTTTCATCTCTGGGGAGACTGGCATACCCCTTGAAGGCACTGCTGGCCACATCAGCCCAGCTGACTTCAAACAAAGAATTCAGAAAGTTTTAGAGGTAAGCCAGTTGCAGCTTTGGCCGGGGGGGGGGGGAGGATGATAGGGGCACAATACAAGATGGGATGGTTTTTGCTGATGGGCGTGGGGAGGGCAGCTGCTTGCTGAAGGGAAGGGGCCTGGCCCCTCTGCCACCCCCCTTGACAATGTTCCTGAACTTACATATTGATAAGAATTTACTTGGGAAATTCTTTGTCGTAACTTATATCACGGTAAGATTTGAAGTCATTTTCCATCCTTGGCACCACATGTTAGAGTTCAGTTAAACAATCCAATGGTGCACTAGTGCTCTCTTTCACGAGGCTCGGGCTGGTATCAAGTGGAGGTATGATCGGAAGCATACAGACATTTTTTTTCTGGTTTACCAGCAGCAGATTAATGTATTCAGTTTCTAAAAGGCTTCCTCTGTGCCTTCATTACTACCCGCCAAAGAACATCCTAAAAAAATAAACAATTGATAAAAAAACATCTGATCACTGCTTCCTATGAACATTCTCTTGATAAGTACGCAGAGAAAGGCGCATCTTAAGAAGATTTTAAATTTGCATACATGTACAGTATACTCTCTGGTATAATATTGGAATTTAACACAGCTTTGAATTGGTACATTTCTTAGAAAGATGTTGACTCAGAAACAAAGAAACCGTTATGAACAAAGACAACTACTGTACATGTACATGCCCTACAAATTGATTGCAGATGTCCAGGCAAGGCCCTGCTTCAACTCCTAAAGTCCAGGCTGCAGCTCAGGCCTCAGGTAGCACCTCCAGACCACCGGCAATGGCACCAGTGACCACCGCAAGTCCACAACCATCTCCTGGGGCTCAGGCCTCAACTACCCTGGCTCAAGCTGCATCCTCTACCCAAATCCCACCTGCAAGTACAGCTACTAGCCAGAGCCAGCAGAAGGAACTGAGTAAGTTGGAGAAGGCAGCTAGGCTGAGACAGAAGATGGAAGAGATCCACCAACGCAAGGAGGCTCAGAAGGAAGAGGTACATATCTAAGAGAAGTCTCATCATGTCTTGAGAGGGGAGGATTTTCCCTCAATATTTGTGCTGCCCAATTTCAGTTAATCCCAAAGCACCATTCCTTATGTTCAAATGCTTCTGCATATAGCAACGGCTAATTTTTCTGTACACCATTTTTTTCACTTGTTTACAATGAACATCTGTGATCTTAAATGTCAGAAATGTAAACATGGAACTTCAATGCATTTTTATGTTTTAAATAGTTTGTAAAAGTTAAAGCAATGTTAATTGTAATCACCCACACTATTCTGATGAGACTGCCTGCTTGACACACAAAAATACAGATTTAATGAAGTGAAATAAGTCAACTATCCTTAAGTCAAAAGCCTTTAAGGCTGTCTACCATCCTAGGATCCAACAGTGGCATTGTTCAGTGGAACATTTTGAGACACTTGGTGGCAGCTGACAAACTGGCCATTTTTCACAGTTGTGCATATACTTACTGCGCAGAACAACCCTGCAATGCTTAGAATTGCGTGCACGTGCCCAGAACTTGCAAAATGGACTGCTCTGTCTGCCACCACCAAGCATCTTCCATTGGACGAACTCAATTTCCTTGGAAAAGCACATTCTGTTAAGTGATTAAAGTGTATGCAGACCAGAAAGGACATACCCTGACAAAGCCACCTGCCTTCATTTGTACTGTATCTGACTTACGTAAGAGCATTCTGTCATCTTGTGAAAAGAGCCGTGTTTTAGGGGTAATGTCCATTTTGTTTGTAGTGAAGTAACCACAATGTATGCATTTCGTAGCCGTTGTGAACCAGTGAAGTAAAGTTTTAACTCAAGGAGAGTCTGTTATTGGAAAAATTGTGCCTTCTTGTGAACTAGCACGGGGTGGATGGTGAAGCTGTGTACGGTATGCACCACTCATTACGTCAGTCCCACAGTCCACTTGATAGAATCAACTGACTGATGTAGACTCCAAAGGTGCTTTCTTGTACTCTATTGCATTGTCACTTCAGATATTTACATTGGCACGTGACTCTGACTTTGCAGGAGATTAAAAGGAAAGAAATAGAGCGAAGGAAGGTGGGTCAAGCTGTCCAGAAATCCATGACAGAAAAGGCTGATCAACAGGCCAGACGAGCTGCTGAGGAAATACGTAAAGAGAAGGAAGAGAGCCGGCTCGCCAAGGAGCGTGTCCGAGAGCAGATTGCTAGAGATCGGGCTGAGAAACAGTCACGTTATGAAGCCAACAAAAGAGAGAAAGAAAAGACACAGGCAGCAGCCAAGGAGACTGCAAGTACAGCTAACGAAGCACCCAAGAGGAAAGTCAACATGTGAGTCGATATCCTTTGTTATATTGCTCTGAGAGGGTGAGCACTACGATTGTTATCGAGTACCAAAGTGAATTTGTCATGTGCACAAGTATTGTATGTAAAAGATATCAGTGCTAGAACCAGCATGTGAACCAATACATGTGTGTATTCCATTCGTTTACACTTCACTTTCTGGTTAAATTGACCTCATGCTTCGGTACTCTTCACCTCTGTCTTGAATAAGTGTTTCCTGATTGGCGGATGACTGGGTGACAAAAATGCATGTCACATGCCACACCATTGGAAATCACATCCTGATATCATAGACTAGTCCCCATTCCAAAGTTCCCACCATAATACAAGGAATATTATCCAGACTATATATTGGTTTCTCTACTACTTTCACCATACTACTAATAATAGGACACCCTTGTGGGAGTATTGGACTGGCGTACAATACAATCAGCAATTGGAGTATTTTTAATAACGGTTGAAGTTCATTTGAAGTTCTTTTTTTTAAGTTCCTCAACATAATGTCTGCTGATATTAAAGACACCCGTAGATTTTTCTCCTAAAATGGGTTTTGAGATGCAATGATATTGCTCTTGGGCAAGACACCTGTTGATACAGTGATGCATCAAGTCCCTATTTGCATCGTACAACTTGCAGCAGCGAACCAAGGTACTTGTTATTTCAATTAAATTTGAGACCTTCAGGTGAGGAAATATTACAAAGAATTCAAGACAGAGGTATAACAATAATTGACAGCTGTGATGTGGGACATGATAGCTTAACACCCTCGGGATGCATAGCACCCGCTTCTTTGCCTGGGTACCATGAGTCTCACATGTGTTAAATTATCAGTCCAATATCACATGAGTCAATAATTGTTAAAAGTCAGCATTACTAACAGCATGTTACCGAGTTAACATCAGCTGATTCAGCTTTGGTTTTTCACTTGAACCAGCTGTTTCCAATCCCATCCCATTCCATCCCTTCCCTTCCCTTGGTGAAATCACTTCCATACCATCCATATCCGGACCCTTTTTTGAGTAGCTGAACTGTGCTACGTCTGAGCAAGGACTGTAGCAAATTGTGCATTTTGGAAGGCTCCAAATGAGAAATTGTTTCCTTGAGCTTGATTTTTATGAAAAGTCAATGTCCTCCTTTATTGTTTATTTCTTCCAACACACTTGTAATTCAGATGCATGGAAGTTTGTGAGCAGTGTCCGTCGTTCTTGTACATCAATGCAAAAAAATACAGAATTCAGTGCGTGTTGATGGACAAATTCCTGAAAATCCAATTGTGATTAAAACTGGCTGTCCCTAAACTTAATATGCATCATGTTCTCCCTATATCACAGTAACTGATTGCAAACTTTCTAACTCCACACAGAGTGCTGATTCTACATCTGTCAGGCATGTCTGTCTTGACCAGTCTGTCCTGACCAGTTTGTCCTGACCAGTCTGTCCTGACCAGTAGAAACGACTCGTGTGTTGGAGTTTTATTGAACCTGTATTAAATTGCCCCAAATACATGTATTGTCATGTAACTCACCAATAACCTATGGCCCTCTAGTCTGGTAGCCTTATGTTTGTGATTTCCTTGGCTCGTTTTACACTTGTAATCCTTGTCAACTTGTCAAAATCATCGCAGTCCCAAATCATTGGGTTCATCTAGTTCTTGGTAGACCCACTTTTGGTACATTGCCTTGCCATTGTTGCAAACATGTTTAAGCTATAAATCGCATGCTGTTTCAGTATGTGGTGTTGCTCAAGGAATTTTTGTCTACCATTTATGATGTCCCTATGAGTATTACGTTAATGGAAGTCATCAGGCTACTCAGGAACATTTTATCTGGTATAGACGGATGTAGTGTTTATTAACCAGTTTCAGTACTAAAGCATTACAGTTGGTGAATTTACTGACAACTGGCTGGTGATGGACTTGACCAGAACTTCGAGGGTTTTTCTGTGGTCAACTAGATTGCTCTGATACAATGGTGGAAATTAGACATTGACTTTCTGGCAGGGTGTCAATTTGAATGTGAGGTTTTGCCCTGCACATTGTACAGTGTATTGCAGATGTAATCTCTGTTGGAAGCACTGCATGTTCAGTGCTTCATCTTAGAGTTTTAAGGAAAGTAAATTCACAAGTTTTCTTATCTGGGACTCAAGCTCGAGCCTTTTGGGTGTTGGAGTGTCTTTAAACACTCAGTAGGCCGCACAATACTGTATTATTCAAATGTGTAGTTACATGTACAAAGTGTAAATAAGTCAACAACTTAGATGCCAGCCAAGGAAAAGTTGGACCTACCCTTTTTTTAGTTGCTGCCTGCCCATGACTTAAACCTTTCCGAACAAATCTGTCACTTTTGAGCTTGCCAATGCCAAGGTCAGGTGGCTGGCTCAGATTCAGCGAAACCTTGAACCAAATTTCGTCAGTTGACTGCTGTACAAGTTGAGGAGGCCCACAAAACTTTTGCTCAAATTTGGATTAGTGAAACATCGAGTACTGTTTTATTCATTGTGGATTTTCGTCAAGGGATGTTCTCCAAGAACAGGCTGACTTTCATGTGTTTTGCATGTTACTTCACTCAGAACAGTCAGAAATTTTATTACATTTTAAGAAGGTTCACATGCTAACGAACAAGGAATGGTGGAGGAGTTCGACACACGACCAAGGATAATCCCAGCTGGCGAGTGGAGAAGGAGTGTGAAGGGGTGTACATCACATTTCAGGCATTAACGTGAAGTCTCATCTTTAATTGGAAATCAGTGTCAAGTGAGCAGCCAAATGAAGTGTTTGACTCCACCTGCTGTGCTAATGACATGTCCGTACTCTCTGCTTCCCTGTGCAGGTTGAAGGAGAGGAGTCACAAGAAGACCCCTAAACATCTGCAGAGACGCAAGCGAGACAAAACGTACGTGTACCCATGTTCACTTTGTTTGAAAGAGTATCATGCCAAGGGGAGCCTCAAACGTCACCTGAAAATTGAACATGGCCCAAGGTTATTCGGCTGGTGTCGAAGGTGCGAGTATCATTGCAACAGGCGGGACAATTTAAGAAGGCATTACATACAGGTTCATGGCCATCACATCAAAGACCTTGAAACAATAGCCTGGGAAACACTTGAACAGAGGAACAGTAGGGTGTGGCTTGAAACTGGAGAGAAGCAATTGGCTGTCTCTAAGCCCAAATGCAAACAGAAGAGGAAGACAGGCAAGAAGACATTGAATGCTGTTCGCCGAAATTTAAAAAGAGGTTGTTGGTGGGCGTTGCCGTGTGAAGATTTCACTGGAAAGGCTCCTACACAATCAGTGGCTGAACATTATCAGCCGGAAGACAGCATAGAAAATTCAAGTGGAACAGAGAAACCTGGGGAGTTGGTTCCTGTCAAACTTGAAGCAGAGGAGATCCTTGAGTTGCGGTCATCACCACAGCCAGCATCTTCCTCTGCCACCCTCTCTCAGGATCCAGACCTGGAAGGCGAGCATTGGTCAGGCAGTTGGTACCAGTGCCCAGAATGTGTTAATACTTACCACCATTCCAGCAGCCTTTTGCACCATTTGCAAAGGGAGCATGGGCAATTCACATTTTTCTGTTGTCGATGGTGCAGTTTTAGAAGTGAGAGAAAAGAAGACCTGAGAAAGCACTATTGGAGAACGCATCCACTACAGATGGAGGACATAGATTTGATAACACCTGAGACGATGACAGTGAAAGAGATGGGAGAACACCTGGACTTGCAACAGGGAATTGAAGTTGTTGCTGAGTATGACCAAAGATTGAATGAGTCACTATCTCCTAGACAAAACAGCTCCACATACAATGAAATGCCAGAGACATGCACCAAGCAGTTTGGAAAAAGCAGCAGTCCATCACCAAGTGCATCTAAGATAGTGGCTGAGCAACCTGCCAACAGAGATGTATCATTGGCAGCTGAGCAGGTATTGCAAGATGCTAGTCTTGCCATCTCACAAGAAGATGTATCATCTGTGAACTCTTTGTTTCCTGTGGGGCATTCAGAGTTACAGCAAGCCCCCAACAGTACCAGTAGCCTGAAGATCTTGGACTCTGACAATTCCGTCGCAGGCACCCACATGAGTTGTTCATCTGAACCTGTGCACACCCCAGCTGATACTGTAGATGCGGAGTGGCAGGTACATGTACAGCACAACAAAGAGACAGTTGGCTGCTTCAAGTGCCCAAAATGTAGTCATGAATTTCTCCAACAGGGGAGTCTGTATCGACATCTCCGACTCAGTCATGGGCCTCAGGCATTTTTTTGGTGCAGATACTGTGAATTTCGGACTAACCGAAAGGACAACTTCAAGAGGCACTACAAAAAGTTGCATCAAAAACATATCGGGGAAGTGAAGAAGATCACCGTTGAAACTTGTGAGGAGAAAGAGAGTCGTGTAAAACATGAACAAATGAAGGTGGTGAAGTTAACAAAATTTCCAAGGCAATCTAAAAAAGGATTGTTTAAAGCCCCATCAGGTGGCAGCCAAGAAGAGACACTGCAAGAGAGGGGAGAGTCAGTCAGTGTTGCAAGTTGGTCTTCAAATTTAGAAGAACAGCTTTCAGTGCAGATGAATGAGTCTCAATCATGTCACAGTCCCATATCTCAACCCATGCAAATGTCACCTACGAACAGGGTGCTATCACCAAGGGTACAGTTAGTAAAGATTGTCCTCCCAGAACAACATCCGGCACCACATGATGCAGCACGTCATACAGGAACTGACAATGCACTCACAGCCAGTGGCTCCGTTGATAACACCTTACAACACACAGCTAACACTGTGATCCAAGAAGAATCTCACAACCCCTTGGAAGGAAGTACGGCAGGCAGTGTTATCACAAAGTCGCACTTCACCACACTAAAAGGAAGGAAATCTTCAAAAGATCATGTGACACAGAGCATGGCCAAGGTTTCCTTAGATCGCCCACAGAAACGGTTTAAATGCAGTGAGGTCACAGATCCTCCGAACAGTCAGAGTACTTCAAGACAGAGTGTGGGCTGCAGTCCCTTACATTATCCACCTAGCAGTGCAACACTAAGCTCATGCCAACGTTCCTTTGTCCACCAGCAAAGGAAACGGAACCAAAGTGCATTCCAAAAGTTGTTGAATGCACCACAGGGAAATATGTCTCTCAGTATCGCCCAAAAAGAGCCAATATCCCAAGGAAATGCAGCACTTCATATTATCGAAGATTCACCCGTCTGTTCTCCAGTACAAGTGACAAGCAACAGAGAATTCATTGAGTTGAATTCACAAGAAAATGCAGTAGATGGCAGTAATAAGGATGTACCAAGCTCATCACAAAAACATGACATCAATACCAGGGGTCATTCTGTGCTGAAATCAAAACATATAAATATCATTGGAAATGCAGGGCATAAATCTCCGATAGTCGCACATCATGCAATCCAAAATCCTCTGAACTCACCACAGAGAAATATGACCCATAACACAGGTCAGTTTGCGTGTAGCACACCACAAATAACTGCTAAAGAACACAAGTCACCCAATGTGAAACAAAATAGACTCCAGGGTTCTCAGAATTCTGTGAATTTGCAAGGGCAATGTGCAGCATGCACATGTCATTTGGCGGAAGATTTATGGGTCTCACCACAAGACAGTGCAGCAAACCACACAGTGCGGGAAGAGAGCCCAGTAACATCTACATCAGAGAGCCCATGCATTCCCCTCACTCGCTTGGAAGAGGTGCTCCGTGGAAAGGTCACCAAGGTCACTGAGGAGAGTCACACGGTCATATATCAAGATGGCAAAAGGATCAAGGAGGAAACAGTGAAGAGGACCTATGAAGTCATGTTTGAGGCAGATTTTGGAAACAGGACAGTAACACCCCGCTACTAAACTCAAAGCTTTATGAGAACCAGGCTAAACTTTAAAGCATTAAAAGAATTATCTAAAAACAGAACGAAAAAGGTACATGTAGAATTCAGATGGATGTCAGCTAAACTTGATACAATATCCCAAGAAATAGTATTTTCTAAATTGTAGGAACGAGTATTCTTTTGGCAGTGAGGTAATTTTTGAAATTTGGTGCCCCCAACACATGAGAGAGCAAAGGTGAAAAACAGGCACAAGTGAAAACAGAAAGTGAAGATTATCTTTGAAATCTAAAATCCAGTGTTGTCAAGTCAACCCTGTAAAGAAGCAGGAATGTTCATGAAAGCTGGATCTGTACTCAACAAGTCTACTTCCGTGTATAAAAGTCAGTCGAGTGAACAGCATCCAACCCTCATCCTTACCCACCCCATGAAAAAAATAATAGCTTTAGGGTTACTGTCTAATATCTTTGTCTAGTTAATATGTAGCAGTCCTGGTCTAAATTGTACATGTTTATGTTGCAGTTCAAATGGTCATATTTATGTGTACACTTTGCCTCTTCGTTCCATGTAATTCCACATCATGAGTCTTCAGGCCATATTTTAGTAACAGTTTATGTTTGCCGTGGAAAGAGCACACTTAGCTTTTTGATTGGAATATCTTGATTTAAGTGGACATTATGTGGTTTAAAAATGTCGATGGTTCTGATTGATTTTCATTTGGCGAAATTCGTTTAAGGCCCTTCTCTGAAAGTGGCTCTGGCAACGTGCAACTCAAATGTTTCAGGTTTTTTCAAATTCAACTACACTACCATTAATGCAGTCGAACCTTGTTAATAAAAGCACTGTTAACACAAGATTCTGCTTATAACAAGGAACATTTAAGGTCCCAATCGTTTGTTTTTTCATTGTTTTCATGCCTGATAATTCAAGGTTCCTGTTATAGCAAGGTAATTTGCCAAGTCCGAAGGACTTCTTATTAACAAAGTTCAACTGTATATAGGTACTTGAATGTGTAGCACAGCCTGCATGCCATCGTTGTGCTGGGGCGCCCTCTCTTTCAATTAAAAAACTAGTAGAAGGAAACCTTGTCATATGGAACGTGCTAGCTAGGAAAATCTTTGCAAAACAGTCTTTTTGGGGAGCTTATATATTAAGTCCCACTTGTGAAACTACCGATGCTGCAAAGGGTTTCATTTAAGGGACTGATCACATGCAAATGTAGTTACGCAATACATGCAGCATCATTTGTAGAACTCCAGATGAATGAGCCAAAACCAGACTCCAAAACTAAAAACTGATGGAGTGTACTTGTCTTGGGCACTGTTATGCTCATGTCTCCTTTGTAAGCCCAAACTGACATGTACTGAACATGAAGCTTCTTCTATTATCATTATTATTATTAATTACTTCTGGTAATGACACCAAGGATTCCTCAAAAGCACCCTAGGCACTGTAGCTTGCAAGCCTGAAGAAACATGTAGAGGGTGACCATGAGAAGCAGTTACAGTTTTTGAGGGGGAGGAAAACCCCAGAGGAATATTCTGGGTAAAACCCTTGGAATCAGGTAGGGACTGAAAATCCAATCTGCATGTCAGTACACACTTTAAAATCTTTCCCGTCTGCTTCCATTGAGGTAACAGCTTTTGGGCAGTTGTCTTAAATGTCGCTTTTGGTTAATCTGTGGTTTGGTGTACGGTCCTGACTGGGAAAAGGAGAAACTTGCAAAAGTTCACTTCTAAACATTCTTTATAAAGTGGGATGCCATTTACACACTGTAATCAAGGTGTCAGTGTGTAAACATGATTGACTACTGTCTCGCATTTCATGTACTTTTTATAAACAGAAGTCCATGTTTTATTCTACGGGCATGATACAGTGACTCATTTGGTGACATGCTGCAGTCAACTGACTGCCACTATCCTGAACATACATGTATGCTAGTCTACAGACATTGAATGACATCATGGTCACTGAACACCTCAGGTACATGTACATTGTACATGTATACCTCACATGGATATACAGATCCTATCCCAAATTTCTAGCTGTACTGTGTGAATTTAGTTCCAATGCTCATTGATCGAAACTATTCTGGGAATGATCAAGCCAGCTATTGTATATGCAGTGTTACTTCATTAATCAAGGGGTTGTACAAAATAAAAGAGAAATTGAGCTGAAAGGTGACCAAGCAAACCAGTGCCCTCCTGTAATGTATGTTAACTTATTAATTTTTTTATTGGTACTTGTGCATGTTGTCCTGGCCCTCTCACCCTTGTGTTTTATAGAAGTTTCTAGAATAATTGCTTCAAGAAGGGATGGTGACTGCAGCTTCATGTTGTTGCATTTTGGACCTGTCTGCTGATGCACATTTGTCATATACATGTACGCATACAGTACTATGCACATTATTTGTACTGAACCCTGCCCAGTTCATTATCTTAACTCTCCAACTTTCACCCCACTCCAAGGCTCCACAACCTGTATACACCTTTCCTGTCGGCACTCAAAACTCAAAGCTTTGGAATAGACTCTGAAGTTTTCACTTAGACAATTTCAACAGGGGTATGCCACTGATTTGATGTGATGAATAACGTGTATCGTTGATTCCTTTGAAGTGCAGTTGGGAGGAAAGTTCTGAACAATGTACATGCATGCCGCCTCACAAGAGATATGCCTTGCATGATGCATGTGTTTTTTATTTATAATACCCCTATGACAGTACTCACACTGTGTATTGGGACAGGAATGGACTGAAAAATCTGGCAGATTTCATGGGATAATCAAGGATGTCAAGGGCTTGATTAGGGCATGCTGCCCCCTTAAGTTCAGAATGAATCATTCCCCTAGACTAATTAACACAGCCTGCAGACTCTCACAGTAACAACAGGCAGCCCAGGCACTTTGACTCCATCCAGATTGTAACTGGATATTGCTTGCAAATGTGACATATCGCATTTTGTGAAGTTTGATTTGGCTGTGTAACAAATCAGCAGATGACAGCCCACTAATGACAGCCCGTCAACAAGTTGATTTCAACCGTAACATTTGTCTCGATGTCATTTCTTTTCCTGTTTTCTTGGACATGGCCAGGGTTATTATCCGGTGGCAGACCTTATTAGATTAAGTTAGTACTTTTTCCTCACATCCTGAGTACAGCATGTGCCCACATACCCTGTGAATGTACATGTAGGCAGTAGAACCTTCTACATCAGTCATAGCTAATTTCATTGAGGACGAAGTAACTTCATTGTATGGAAGGTGAAGAAAAGCAGGGCTCTTTGACGGTACAGGTAAAACTAGATAAAACTAGCTTTTTTAAAGAAATGACAAGCCACATTGGAGCAAATAAATCCTTGTGTTTTATTCTTACACTGAGTTTCTTTACGTGTGAGTAGCAAGTTTTAAGTCATTCTAACAGCAGAAAGATAGTAGCATTGGTGGTGGTCACTTTGAAAGATGAAGCGACATTTTAAGAGGCCAGCCTTCTGCAATTCTAAAGTTGTTGGAGGCAATTCTAATAGGGTTGCTTAATCTGAGGATTATGCACACAATGCACTTAGAGGTGCCAGGAATCTGGATAGAAAGTTATGTCCATCACAAGTCAAGTGACTGATTAATCCCAAGACTCACATTCCAGGTCAGGTCACAAGTCCATTCAAGTACCAGGGAATAAGCAGAGATCAGCGGATGTCTCTGTTGCAATTCAAGATCAGTCCCAAGTACAGCAGTGCCTAGCCGAGAGATGAATCAGGAATATTCCTGTATCACGAACCCAGATCCTCAACTGTGCCTGGCTTGAGTCCTTGTTATTTTTAATTGAAAAATCGAACACAGTGCCTTCTATCTGTCCTTTACTTCCTGTAGTGTGTTGCTTTGCTAAAATATAAGCACATGTACAAGAAATGAGGGTGACTTTAATACACAGCATTACCACTTTTCCCCTCAAAACTTAGACTCTCTGGTGACTCAAAGCATTGAGGGCAATAAACAAGATTGGCTCTCTGTGAATTTTACCACTTTCACCTTGTGCAAAAGGGGACCCTTCCATCCCTTAAGCCTGCTTTAGAGTCACCTGTAGCTTGCTTGACATTCTATTGTCTCCTACTGCTCCATCATCACAATTATTTGTAACTGACTACACAATGATGACAGCAGATGGCACAGAGTGTGTATGTAGATGAATCAGATAGCCCCTTGGAGTTTGGCTTGTTAGTCATCCAAGCATAAAGGTGAGGGGAGTTAGCATGAAATGTACTGTCAGCGGAAAGTGGCTCATTTCAGTTATGAACTTCAAGTATGGGGGAAAAAGGAATTTCCATTCCAGAGCTGAGATGGATGGGAGCTTTTAGTAGGATGTGTGTTGTGTTTGAGGAACACTAAAAGCATTCACTGAAATGTCCCAGCACAAAACATCCAGTTCCTGAGCGCGAAATGGATATCTTCATGAATGTTATCCCCATTGTGAATAATTGAAAACTAGTAAAATGTATGAAGTGGGAAAAAACTGGAGGAGGGAAACTGAGGTTGGAGCACACAAGGAATGTAAACCCAAAAGTGACTTATTGGAAAGGAAACTGAATTAAGACCTTTCATCTTTTCAAAACGGAGGCTGAATAAACATGGAACGTATTGTGCCCATCCCTGGTTGTCTCTGCTTTTGAGTGCTACCAACCAGTACTGAAGTAAAATTGTGGATCTCACATTCACAGCAGAGGGGAGATGAAACATCTACAGTACCCTCTACATGTAGGGTACCCCCAATTTCCTGTCCACTGTTTGAAAGTGCCAGAGCAGAGGACATGTAGATAGTCTGGCAGTCCATGTACTCGGGAATCTAGCTGATCGGTTTAACTACCATACATGCTAATGAGACGTGTGGGCATGATCATGCCCCCATTTGTTTTGTATATATACTCGGAGCCTTAACCACTTGCTGCCAGGTGCTTTTAAAAATGCAGTGCACACATGCGGGAGATTTTTCAAGATTTTCAGTTTTGAAAATTCTTTAAAAATTCATTTTTTCATTTAATGGATGTTTTCACCCACACAAATGACTGTTTGGCTGCTACTCTAAGGTGACAGGTGACCTTCATTGACTCTTGAATATTTCAGCCAGGCCTGCCGCCCTGTAAAGAGAGCCCAGAATTGTGAGATGTTGCGTAATTTCCTTTGTCCCCAGTGAATGCGAGTGGCATCTTTTCAAACGTGGCTGGATTAGCATGCAGCGGTGCTGTGTCGCTCATCAATGGGGCCCTGGAGCACTTTTGTCTGCGGTGCTAATCCGCAGGCGCGCTATGCCCAAAACAGTGGTATACAGCCTGTTGTTTTAGCAAATATGGCATCATCACAGTGCCACTGTGTGTTGCAAAATATGAGGTTTTGAGTGAGAAATAAATTCAAATGACGCCGAGTATTTGTGGCATTGGCTGCATATCAATAATTACCTGTCGTATCTTGCTTGTTTTGATAGTTGAATTTTCGGCTTGAATAAAACTATCTGAAAATGGTTAACTAAGTGAACTTTATAAAACATTCAGTGTGGCTTGGTCTTAAAGGATGCATTGTCAGCTTCATACACCACTTGCATCCCTGCAGCTATGTATGACTGTGTGCCCCTAATGTCAAAGCAAGACCTGAAAACTTATTTCAGCAGAGCTGTGTAATTTATTGGTGAAATGAGCAATCAGGTTAATGTGCCATAGCTTTGGGCTTTGTGAAGAGGAGATGTTTTAAGTTTGACAGCACCGGACAGCTTACCATTGAATCACATCAGTAGCAAAGGGATTGTAACTTTGGCGTTGAACTCAATGGTACACGGGT